AGTTAACAAGTTTGTTCATACTTCTGCACCTGTGCAAGTTTTTCACTCGCAGATCGCTTAGGAGGCAGTTTGGGCTTTGAAACACCATCGAGAAATTTTCACATACCTTCTTTTTACACAACGATTGCTGCCACAGAAAAAAAGGAAATCAGTTTTGAAAGGACAATATCATTTATTATCAACAATTGTTGTCAAGATTTAGCATACGGTGCGGTGCCGGTGAAGCATGACGTGCGGAAAAGCGACCTAACTTTTAATCCATGCAACACAGGGATGTGTGGTGTTTAAAGCATACAACCTAGACGTCATCAATACGATTTCAACGCTATATAGTTCATTGGTAAGGTATCAGACTTTAAAGTTACTACATCCAATGTGTTGCACCCGCGACAGCGTAACATGTACATTGTACATGGTCAGTGGTAAACGAACGAAGCGCTGTATCGCAATGTTCCGCCGGGCACCAATACAAGCATCACGCATGCACGGAATGGATGGCCATTACTTCGGGGCCATCCTGCTGTTCGAACGAAGGTGGTACGCGCACGTTAAATTCCTCCTTGACCAATAGGGTGTTGTGAATTGCCGAAATGCGCGCGCGCGCTCAAGTTGAGACATTTGGAAGAGGAAAAGTGGCGGCAAAAGCCAAAAAATCATCATTGGTATTCCCGGCGGTCATTGGAAAAATCGGTGGTAAGTTTCTCGATTATTGGGAGGACCTAGGGAATGAAGGCAGGGCCTATTCAAATTTCTTGCTCAGTTGGAAACGACGAAAAAGGTTCTATTGGTCTAAATTGATAGATCTGATTACTTTTTTGGCTTGATTACATCATGCATGCCTAACCTACAAGTACAAGGAGGCTACATGTCGTGTACTTCTTACACACCGCGCGCTGTCTAGAACAAGTTTTAGAAGTTTCTAGAACTTTCTAAGGTCAATATTTACAAGCATTTTAACTGTTTTAAAATTATAAATAATACTTTTTATCAAGTCTGAAACACGTTACTCTTTGAAAATAAATTCTTCAACGTCGGAACATAATTTTCGTAAAGGATTTATTCGAGAAACGATGTCCAAAGAAAGGTCAAGCACCCCTACGATATCAATGGATCCGTCCACAAAATGGCCGCACGTGAAGGATTCTTCTCGAAGAATGTCGCTGTCGAAAATTTGGATTTTTGACTTGACTACTCGTTGCTGATAATAACAGTTCAATAAGTTTGGTAGTAAAAACGGATCTGTTTGTCCTTAGGACAAAACCAATCAGCAAATATTGCAATAAAGCAAGTTTTTTAGCGATCCACGAATGCGTTGCTGTCTCAAATGCTGAGGGAAAATGTGGTCGCGTAAAACTACTACTAGTTTTCCGGCGTAGCCAGTGTGGGCTGGCCCGCGCCCGCGCCCGCACGCCGGGCCGGCCGGGGCCGGCCGCGGCCGGGATAGGAAGCAATTCCCGGTGATTATTTCTCATCGTCATTATCTACAATTATTATTTTTTAAATAACAAAAATGAGATTTCTCCTTCACATTGTGTTGTATCATATTGAAATTGCAATCGCCAACGACTTTTTCTGTCTGAGACCTCAATGGTTTTACAATTTCTCTCCCTGCCGATCGGATGGCTACCTCCATGGTTTTATTTACAAATTTAAAATCGGAACTACTGCTACTACGGCAGCGCTACACAACACAAGGCTTCTTGAAATATGAAATGTTCATGCGATTTGTTTTCGCACTTAATATTGACAAAGTAAATCCCAAGTTTTTATAAAACATATTGAAGAACTAGGCCTACTAAAAATGGTTATAACAGAGAGCATCGATCTTGGAACAATTTATACATTGTGAACATAATCTAAAATTTGAAAACAGAAGAAACTTTACAGGAGCAAAAGTATTAATCATTGAAACAAATAAAACAAAATTTCTTATAATTTTAAACACTTCTGCTAAAAAAAAATCAGGGGAAAGTGGCAAGGAATCGCCTCAGATTGCACCACAGAGTATCTATAGTTCCTAAAAAAAACTTTTTGGCCGTTTTCGAGCATTTGTCAACAAACGAAGGTCACGTGACTTATCCGAACTGAATTACTGAACCAAATTTAAGTCTTTTTTTTTAACAATAAGTCATGAGTATTTGACAAAAAAAGACTATGTATTCAGATTATGGATACAAGCTGTTAATAATAGTGATGAAAAATCGAACGCTGACCTTTGACCGCGTTTTGTTTTTTTCACATTTTTCGTTAATTACGTGATATTTTGATGATTTTGTTTTTACAACAACCATCTAAAAATGGTCCCTTTAAATTGTGTCATATAGGATGTGCAGTTTTTTTACACAGCTGTTGAGGATATTGTTTGAACGGTAAGACGTGATGTATGGCAAAAGATGATAATAAATTCATAATAGTGAGTATAAAACTTCTTTTTTTTCCAGTTATTTCAGCTGTGGAATTTAACCGGGATCCTGGTGGGATACTTTGGGATCCCGGTGGGATACTTTGGGATCCCGGTGGGATACTGACTGGGATCCCGACCTATCCCATCGGGATCCCAACCCATCCCATCGGGATCCCGACAAAATATCCCGGTGGTATAGGTCTGGATCCCGGGCAGTATCCCTCCGGGATTCCCGACCTATCCCATCGGGATCCCGACCCATCCCATCGGGATCCCGACAAAATATCCCGGTGGTATAGGTCGGGATCCCGAGCAGCATCCCACTGGGATTCCCGGCCTATCCCATCGGGATCCCGACCCATCCCATCGGGATCCCGACAAAATATCCCGGTGGTAAGGTCGGGATCCCGGGCAGTATCCCACCGGGATTCCCGACCTATCCCATCGGGATCCCGACCCATCCCATCGGGATCCCGATCAGTATCCCGACGGGATAGGTCGGGATCCCAACAAAATATCCCGGTGGTAAGGTCGGGATCCCAGGCAGTATCCCACCGGGATTCCCGACCTATCCCACCGGGATATTGGTCGGGATCCCAACGCTGATCGGCCGATCAGCGTTGGAAAAAAATGGCTTTTTTTTCAAATACTGGCCCCAGTTGACCATCACACTTGTTTGCAACCGATTACAAACATATGAACGGGTACAAGCCAGCTAGACTGGTTCCCTGACCTTACAATTCCCCAATATATGTAAACTGCTCTGTTTCTTCTTAAATGGAGTCAGGGAAGCAGACTACAGGAAAATGATTGTTTTTCTTGGTTTTTATAGCATTTTCGAACCCAAAACCTCAAAAAAGTCAATGTAACTATATTTGCTATATATAAATTTCCTACCCCCTAATTCCATCCATTTCTGAAAATTACAGCAAAAGCAAATGATGTATATTCCCTTTAATTATTGAAAAGAAAGAAACAAGCCACAAAAGACTTAAACCCTTGTCATCCCCTTTGCTGACCAATATGTTGGCTTACTTTTGTGGCATGAATATTGAGGGTATATGTTTGTACTTTCAACATTGACTAGCAAGCTCTTTAACTCAGTAGGGATTTTTCAACAATTAAATTTGTACAAGCAAGAATTAGGTTTTAAATACAAAATTCAGGAAAATCACTGTTTGTTTAAATGTTGCTACATGTAGTGTACAATTTTATTATTTTATCACTGCTCTTGCTTTTACACGCAAATTTTTTTGTCCTCTAAAAAGTGTGTGACTTTTAGAAACATGGTTTGCCCTGCAATTTTTTTTTCCAAATATTACTAGGTATCAAAAAGACGTAAGAGCTCAAACACCGATTTGTGTTTAGAGTTTTAAATTACACAAGGAAATAGCAGCTTTAATGAACATATAAAAAGCAGCAATTCCTCGGATACTGTGCAAATTAAGATACATCTTGTATGATGCTAACTTTACAACGACATTCATATTTTACAGCATTGATATTTCAATTACCCACACTTGAAGTACCCTTGAGTCCATCTAAAAGAAATATTAGAATATTGCTTTGCATTTAAACATCATACAGACATGGAGCTCATAATGTAATACAACAGACTAGTGGTGCTACACAGATTATGTACAATTATAGAGCATGCAAGTCTCGCCAGTTCACATTCACTTTTCATGTGAACATCTTGGTACCAAACACTGACTAGTCTAGCCACAGACTCCCGTCTTTGAATTCACCCAATTCACCCAATGAACGGAAGTGGAGGTCAACATTTTTTCAATTTACTAAAGTAATCAACTTGCAATATTTTTTGAATGTCTTGGAAATTTGAATGATTTTTTTCTTGTTCCTAACCCATTCTTTGCCCTTGACTGGATAAACCTAGTAAAATCACCTAGGTTTTTGAGGTCAACTTGCACGCTCTATCGACAGAAGTGGAGTACAAATTGCTGACTTTAACTATCAACTACATTTTTTCCAGCTAGTAGCTGTGAAGACACTTTTAATACACCAGACTTAAATCCCATACTGTACATCTAAAGCCTACAATGATCTTGTATATTATATCTGTGCTCTGCAGCAAAACATGTATTCAATTGGATTTCTCCTTGCTAAAGATAGAATTCAGGAAAGTTTGAACAAAAAAAACAGCACTTTATTTGGTCTTCAAAAATTGGTTTCTACATTATGCAACATGTATCAGGCCTGCAACTTTTCCTCGGATCCGCTGATTTCCTCGTTTTTTACTTCTCATGAATGCCATTACAAATTGAAAAACACTTTACAAAGTCTGGTGTGGTTGGAATTTCCTTGTTTTTTAATCTAAATTTCCAGTTGCATGCCTGATTTATGCACAAAGATTGGTATACATTTGGAATCAGATGCTCCTAATGCATAACTTGCAGCTTTGTTGATCTGTTACTTAGGCTGTGTCTGAAACGGGCTTCTAGAGCTATGGCTACGGCTATTGTCAGATTGTTCCCATGTATTTGTTTTGGGTGAAGACCTAGACAATATAGCTCTAGCCATATCAATTTTTTTAATCTGTTCATTTGTGCATCAGTTCTTGACTCACAAGATGACGTACCAGTGACTGGCGCTGCCATAACGGATCCTTATCACTATCTGACGCAACAGCACTTCACCTCAGAGATCTTCAAGATTGAGATCCAAAACCTCCCAAGACATTTTGGATTTGCGGTGAGTTTGCTCTCTAAGCATTCAACTCTCGATAATGATAATCGTGCGTGGATCCAGGATTATTTTAGACAGGGGGCACATCGTTGGAACATTTGCTCAGAGAACTATGCGAGCGCGGGAAATTTTGGATTATAGATGCTCTGTAGTGCAATGTGAGGCGATTCCTGGCCCCTCTTACCCTGACTTATTTGAGCAAAACGTTTTAAAATATATGGATTTTTCATTGGTTTAAAATAAACTCTTACTATTTACAAGCCTAAGTTTCTTCTGTTCTTCACTTGATAACCATGTATTTTCGTCTGCATATTTTTGTGCATTATATTTGTAAAAAGGAATTTTATAGACTTAGTTTGTAAACTGTTGCAAGGATGCTTTCTAATGTATTGTTTCAAGTTGAAATGTTCAGTTTATCAATAAGAACAAACCGCTTGAACATGTACATTCAGTACATGTTACAGAAATGTTCTTGGGTTTAATTCAGTCCAGTTTCAATTTCAAGAATAGGGCTTAGTTATACATGTACAGGTACATGAATTTGTAATGTACCATCGGCAGATTGGCGGCGCAGCAAGACAAATTGTATAAAACTCTCATCGTAGTTTGTACACATGTGACTGGTCTCTTATAGTACAGTAAATAGCCATCGGGCCTTTGGCGCCATGATTGCAATTCCCATTTAGTACGATACATTGTGAAGGTGTTTTCGTCATTTTGTTACATAAAAAAATACAGTAAATAATTGTACATTGATGACGTTGAGAAATAGACATCCGGAATTGGTGTATACCTATCCCAACCCGGCACGGACAGGCGCCTGTCTGCGGCCGCCACAGGCAAACTCCAATAAAAAAATCCCTCGCTTGCACTTGAGAAAGCAACTCACGGCGTGTTCCATTTAACTTGCCAGAGCATGTCTAGAGTGCTAAACTTTGCCTTTGCGCTATAACTGCTGATTTTTGTCCTCAGAACAAACAGATCCCTTTTAAGTACCAAACTTATCAGATTTGTATTTTCAGCAATGTGTAGTAATGTCAAAAACCTTTAACTTAAAAAAAAAGTTTTATGGATGGATCCATGTATACTTTCAGGGGTGTTTTTTGGGGGGTGTTTTACATTGTTTCTCGAATAAGCCTTTACGAAAATTATATGATGAAATTGAAGAACTCATTTTAAAACGAACAAATGTTTTGGACTCGGATAAAAGTATAATTTGTACTAAAAAAGTGCGCTTAAAAAATGCTGGCAAATTGTTCTTACGAAAGCACACCCCTTGACCAATGGTGAGGTCCAAAGAGCAGTGTACAACATGTGTGTCGCGCAACACAGCAATAAGCTGCACATGCTTTTTGTTGAGAATGCATTGTAGAGAGTACGTACGTTCGTATGAATCGCCTTTATGCAGGGTTACATAAGGAGGAAGTACGGTGGAGTCGCGGTTTATTTCAAAGCTTCTCGGCTCTCCAGCTTGCTGTGTCATACCTACATACGCAATGTTTGCAGGCTGATGTTTAATATCGCCGCCGGTATACCGGTATTTGTAAGGAGGTTGCCCTCCTCCTTCCCTCCATCTCGCTCTTCTCCCCCTCTTTTTTTTTGGGGAAGGGGACTTAATTTGACAGGGGTACGTGCCCCCTAGGACCTCCCCTGGATCCTATTGCCTGAATTATCATGCAGTTCCTATTGCTATATCAAGAGTTCCTATTGCCAATCATGGTTGGAATTTCTCAAGGTCTTTTAATAGCATAAAGAAATTAAAGGGCCGTGAAATGAAATATTAAAATATTAAAATATATAAGCCGCCTGTATTCATCGAAGTAACAACTACATGTACTTATTTATTCCCTTTTGTTCAAGTGCACTTTTTTGTGTTGTAGCATATTGAAATTGCAATCGCCGACGACTTTTTCTGTCTGAGACCTCCATGGTTTTACACTTTCTCTCCCTGCCGATCCATGGTTTTATTTACAAATTTAAAATCGGAACTACTGCTACTACGGCAGCGCTACACAACACAAGGCTTCTGAAATATGAAATGTTCATGCGATTTGTTCTCACCCTTAATATTGACAAAGTAAATCCCAATTTGTTATAAAACATTGAGGAACTACTAAAAGTGGTTAAACATCAGAAAGCATCGATCTTGGAACAATTTATACATTGTAAACATAATCTAAAATTTGAAAACAGAACAAACTTTCCAGGAGCAAGAGTATCAATCATTGAAACAAATATAACAAAATTTCTTATAATTTTAAACACTTCTGCTAAAAAAAAATCAGGGGAAAGTGGCAGGGAATCGCCTCAGATTGCACCACAGAGCATCTAGAGTCCAAAATTTTCCGGGACCTTAAGCGGGCCCCGGACCCCACGCCGTAAGGGCTTCGCGCTCTGCGCTCGCATTAGTCGCCGAACCAAAATTACCCCTACGCTTTAATTTTACCCTGGCTAGAACACTGGTTTGCACATTGAAGTATCCCATTGACTGCCTGCCATGTGCTAAATGAAGAAAACAGTCACATCAACCTCGGCCAAAACCATTTTGTAACTTTTTTAGTCCTCAAACATCAGTGAAACTGAAGTTCCAGCTCATGACATCACTGTTTTTCTCATGAATATGCACCTTGGCACTATCATGAAAATATGTAAAAGCCTGAAACATCCAAAGACTTGGAATACAGAGGTGCATTTCCTAAAATTAAAACCTCCAAATCTGTTTCAAAGACACTTAAACAAGTACTTAAGGTGGAAAAATGTCAGGGTTATCCATATTTTAGTGCCAATAGATGTGCATTTTCACAAATAAAAAGTAGCAAACTTGTTCATTTACAAAAATTTCAAGTAACAAGGAACAGATATGGAAGTGTAATTCATTTGCCAAGAAGATCATTTGTAAGTAGGTCAAAACCACTTGAATGCATACATTGAATGAGTTCCAGCTGTTCCCTTTACTGATAGTTGGTTGCAATCTGCTCTGGGCCTGCGCATTACTGATGTTATGATGCGTACGAGTATTGGCAATCCGCTAAGTAAAACACATTACAACTCCAGCATATTACATGTATGCTGATAATATTTCTCAACTTTCAAATCTACTTGGCACTCCAATAAAGATGATATATGAAAAAGCCATAGATCTACTCTACACTTTGAACACTACACAGCAAGTTACAGAACATTGTTCTTAACAACTTTCAAATGATTGACTTCCTTGGTTCTGGATGTGCATACTGCTGCCCTTGTGCTAATGGCTCAGTGCCTGTCAGCCCAGGACATTGTTCCTGAGTACTTGCAAGTGACTGCTGGCTCTCTGCAGGTTCTTGATGTACATGTACACACTGTTCCCCTTGCATGGATGGCTTGCAGTCAGTCAGACTAGAGCATTGTTCCTGATGAGAACTTGCAAGCGCTGGGGTTCCTGCTGGTTCTGCATGTACCTCAACATGCACTTGAACATGCTGACTGTGCATGGATGCCTTGCTGCCGCTTGGTCTGGAACATTGTTCTCGACAGCTGTCCAGTGACTGCTGACTCGCTGTGTGTTGTGCATGCCCTTGGCTTGGTGGCTTGCTGCTGCTTGGCCTGGCAGCATTGTGCACTTGGTCATTTTCTGCCTGTGGAATCATACGAAGCTCAATCTGCTTCCCTGGCTGCGATGGTCGGCTGGTATTCCGTCTTGGGCAGCAACGACAGCACAGTTTCAGGAATGAGAAAGCCTTGACTACAGCTGCACGATAGTCAGCATTTGTGGCACGTGTTGTAGACCAGGGAATCGATTGAGCTATTGATCAGTTGCAGAATGTCTTGACATATAGTCAGAGCATATAGTTTTTCTGCAAGTTCTAGATATTCAACCTCTTGGGCAGGCCTAGTGTAACTGATACGTATGATTCTAATAATTGCACTTGCAATGTCTAGCGAGTACAAAACGAAGAACACAGCAGTATTTATGATTACCAAACGGAGGACCTTGCTTGCTCGCTTGGGACGGTTTGGCACTGGCAGCAGTGCTGATTGCTTGCGCACTTTCACTACTATGTAGATGTACAAAGCAAGAGTTGCTATTAAACAGACAATGTTGATAATGTGAGGAATCCAAAAGATGATTTCATAGAAGACATTGTCTGTTATTGGTAGCAATATGAGAATCACAGCAACAATAATTGTTGGAACCCAGAGTCCTGCCGATATCTTTGCTGCTCGAGATTTAGAGGCTTTTTCTTTGTGTGTTAAAGGATTGTGCACTGCAGAGAATATCTCAGCTGCTATGGTAACCACAAAGAAATTACAAACCGTTATAAGCATATAACGGACACCCCGGGCTGCAACTTGCAAGGCGTCTATTGGTTGAATAAACAGTGCATACTGAAGGCTATATGTAAGGAAGAGCAAGTCAGCCACGGCCAGATTGGATAAGTAGATGTTGATGATTGTACGCATGGACTTCACTCGAATGACTGTGAAGAGAAAGACTATGTTGAGGAGAATGCCGATCGGTGCAACGATTTCAATACTTAACCATTTTATTTGAAGAAGTCCGTGTCTAGTCTCGTGAAAGTTGTCACGAAGCTGTCAATGTCACTTGCCCTACCAGTTGATGGAGTGGAGCTGTTTTGATAGTCATCACCCATAGTTCATTTACAGTGTTGTATTGATCGTCATGCCGAACATTTAGTGCATTCTATTGGAAGATCACTCCTGTTTTGCCTTTAACAGAGAATGTACACTGTGCGTTTATGAGAAATTAAGTTGAAAACTAAAGCTCGTTCGTATTTGTCCGGATTTTTAATCTTTTTATTTTGGTTTTGTTTTAACAGCCGTGTTACAAAAATAATCAACACAGTTTCATAATTGACATTGGCATGATAGTTGCCATTTTTGTTTAAGTTTGTGTATACATCCTTTTAGTTCAGTGTCTTTCCCTTCCATACATTGCATACACATGTGCGCCTTGTTCTCCAACCCAAACTGTCCCGAAACCACAAAATTCCAGCCCCTGAATA